AAAAAAAAAGTAAAAATAAGGAAAGTGCCTGGACCAGATGGTTTACCAGCCTCTTATTATAAATCTTCATTTTGAAGATGAACTACTACAACCATTGCAACACATGATGAACTATTTTACAGACTGGAAAGATACCGGACAGTTGGATAGAGGCTAATATAGCATTAATACCTAAAGAAGATTAAGATTTCACCTCACCAAAATATTACCACCCTGTATCATTACTGTACTGAATAAAGATTATATATAAGATATTTACAATAATTTTAGCTGAGAGAATAAAAATGGTTTTATAGGACTTTATGCATGAAGATCAGTGTGGGTTTTTACTTAAGAGACAGCTGAGGGACAATATTAGAAATATATTGGATACTTTGGAATACTTAGAACAACATAATGAAAAACATGCAGCACCGAATTTTCTTGAGCAGAAAAGGCTTTTGACAATTTGAACTGGACTTTTTTGTTTAAAATTTTGGAGGATATGGACTTTGGTGAGAATTTTATAAAATGGGTAAAATTGATTACACTTCACAAAAGACGCAGATAATTGTAACTGGGTAATTAACCAAACCTTGTGAGATACAGAAAGGGACTACACAAGGATGCCACATGTCATCATTGCTATTTATTTTAGTTTTGGAAGTATTGAATTGAGATAAAAGGTGAAATGAGAGAATTGCTGAAGTGAAGATTAAAATAGAAACTCATAAATTATGGGTGTTTGCTGACAACCTGGTGATAATTTTGGCAGATCCTCTGGAAGGAATAGAAATATTAATGGAAAAACTAATGGATTTTGGGGTATTAGTTGGCTTTAAAATTAATAAACAAAAGGTGAAGATGTTAACAATATGAGCAATGAAAAACAAATGGAATTGATAGAAAACTGGTTTTAAGATTAAGAAAAAAGTGAAATACTACTATGACTACTATGAATTGTATGTTATACCAGAATAATTATGTTAAGACATGGAATGAAATTAAGAAGGAAATGTTAAGATGGGAAAAATTACATTGTCATTATTGTGGAGAATTTCTGTAATAAAAATGAATGTTTTGCCAAGATGATGTTTTTGTTTTAAACAATACCTATTCTGACAATTGATGTACCTTTTAAACAGTGGCAGAAAGATATATCTAAGTCTGTATAGGAAGGGAAAAAACCAAGACTTAAATATAAAATACTTCCAGATGCAAAGGAATGAGGAGGATTGGGACTGCCTGATTTGAAATTGTATTTTGCAGCCTGCTGCTTAGTTTGGATGAGATTTTGCTAAGAAATTTGGATTTTGCTGAGAAATAAAAGTATTTTAGAATTAGAAGAGCATGATCTGAGGTTCAGATGGCATGGTTTTCTATGGTACGATAAAGTTAAGGTTAATGTACATTTTAAGAATCATTACATTAGAAGTGCCATATTGAGAATATGGAACAGATATAAACCAAGATTGTGCCTGAAAATGCCTTTATGGGTCTCAGTACAAGAAGCATTTTACAGGAAAGAACCAGAAGGTAAAGAAAAATGGTTAATTTATTGAGAGTTGTTAGAACAAGAACATGGAGAATATCAGATGAAATCAAAAGAGCAATTGTCTGCAGAGTGATTTAGTTTTCAATGGTGTTTGTATGCACAGTTAAGACAAAGATTTAAGGTAGATAATAGGACATTTGGAATTGAGCAGCACGAGACGGAATTTGAAGTTGAACTATGTACAAATGATGAACATGTAATTGCTAAAATGTATAAAGTTTTATTGCAATTTGAAATGGAAGAACAAGTGAAAGACTCTATAATAAAATGGGCTAAGAACTTGGACACAATATACTGATGGAACAGTGGGAAAATATGGGGTTAAAAGGATTGAAATTATGTTATAAGCTATTATGTTCTAATCTAAAAGAGTTTTTTTATAAAATGATGTACCGTTGGTATATGGTTCCAGAAAAATTGCCTAGAATGTATAAGGGGCTTTAAATTTATTAGAAATGTGGGCAACATGAAGGATCATTTTATCATGCCTGGTGATAAAAATACATACTGAAATTTCTGAATGCCACTACAGGTAGTCCTTGATTTATGATAATTCATTTAGTGACCTTTCGAAGTTATGACAGCACTGAAAAAAGTGACATATGACTGGACCTCACACTTATGACTGTTGCAGTGTCCCTGCATTCATGTGATCAAAACTTGGGCACTTGGCAACCAGCATGTATTTACAACAGTTGTAGCATCCCAGGGTCATGTGATCACCATTTGCAACCTTCCAAGCTGGCTTCCAACAAGCAAAATCAATGGCAAACTGTGATTCACTTAATGACCACTGCAAAAAATGTCGTAAAAGTAGGTGCAGTCATGTGATGCCTCACTTAATGACCGCACCACTTAACAATGAATTTTCCGGTCCCTATTGAGGTCATAAGTCAAGGACTACCTGTAACCCATTTTGATTAATATCCTGCAATAAACAAATTCCATGATATGGTCTGCCCTGATATTTGAGAGGAAATATAGGAGGTGATATCTTTGAGTTCAGACATTGTTTCAGTAATTTGCCAAAGATTTGAAGGAAGCTCATCTTTGAATCTTGATAAACTCTTATCAGTACTTTCTAAAAGTGAGTATCCTCTCACATTCCTATCTAGAGAAAATACTGCAAATAGAACACCTGTCCTCAAAGTTTCTGATTTCAGCGTCATCTGCTAAAAAAGGCAGTACCTCACTTTATTTATTAGCTCCAGTGGATGCTGAGATCCTAAAGTCTTACCAGTTGCAGGGTTGAAATTATGTCATCAACTATGTCATCAACCATTCCATTTAAATCAGAAGAATGAATTCAGAGGGTAGCATTTGAGGGTTGAATAATTGATCTCAATGGCCTTTTTAAAGGGTCTTCCAGTGATAGAATGTTTATTTGAGTTCCTTCCCATCTTCTGATTGCATCTTGGTCCAGCATATTTATTCCTCCATTATTTGTTGTCCATTCAAGCCAGTGGCCCAGAAAATAGGAGAGTAAGGAAACTAAAAATGCTGAAATAACTCTTAAGATGATGTTCTAACTAATTAGCTTTACTTCCATGAATGAAAATAATACATTCTTCTGATCACTTCAAATAATTACCATATTTTATGTTTCCCACCCATATAGGAGTAGCAGCTTTTTTCCTCTTTTCTTTTTTAAAATGGACAAATATTTTCAAATGTTTCTGGATGAAAATTACTGATCATATGATTAACCTGCTTCTTTGCAGCTGTTGAAAGAAACAATTTAATGAGGCTGGCTCAAACAATCCCTTTCACACCAGTGCAGTTTTTTGGTGAGTACCAGATTTCATACTGATGTATAAAAACATTTTAGTCATTAAGAAAATTGATAATAATTTAGGTTTCAAATGTAGTCCCACTTTTTATTTAAGTCTTCTGATAGACTTATATACAATTATGCTATTGCCTGGTTATTTGTATGAAGTCATGATGCATATCTATCTATCTATCTATCTATCTATCTATCTATCTATCTATCTATCTATCTGTCTGTCTGTCTGTCTGTCTGTCTGTCTGTCTGTCTATCTATCTTATATATTATTTTGTATAATACCAAGAAATAACTGAAAAACATTATTGTAAAAAAAAGTTTACATTTTTCTTTTATTGTTAATCAATCTCATTGTGTTTTTCACAATATTTCTAATTTAGCTGGAGAAGAAGTAACAATCTATAGATTGGAAGAAAGTTCACCTTTGAACCTTGATAAAAGCATGTCCTCTTGGTCACAGCATGGCATGGCTGCCATGATTCAAGTTTTGTCTCAGGAGGAAATGGATGGAGGGCTGAGGAGAGCTATGAAAGCTGTCTGCACCTGGTCTGAAAATAATGTGCTAAAGTTAGGTGAAGTTTTCATTGTAAAATCTTTCCTTCCTGAAGTAGTTCAGACTTGGCAGAAGATCTTCCACGAAGGCACAGTCCTCCATCTCTGTCTCAGAGTGAGTATAATCTGATCAGCAATACATACTAACAACAGGAGGTTAGCAAGACTGTACAACAAAAACTGTCACAGTGTCTTCCATGGTAATCGACCATTAGGTCTGCCAAAAGCTGCTTGTCACCTCAGCCCCAACTCTGCCAACAGCTAGCAGGTGAGAACCCCCTCACTGCCCCAGCCCTGCCTCCTCATGTGCTCCAACAGTAGGTCTATTCATGAGAATAGATCAATGGCTAACATGGATTTATTGTACCATACACTTGTTAATAGCTAATTACTGATAGCTAATACCAATAGCTAATACCAGTAACTACAGTACTTGTATTCTCAGATAGATATTACAGTCTATTCTGGATAGTAGGCATCACAAAGTTGTTAATATCTTTGTAGTAGGGACTGGACGGATCAGAAAGAGTGTATTTCTTATTTGTCAGGGAAATAAATGTGAACAGATCACTCTTATTTTGTAAGTTATTTTGTGATTTTATTTTCTAAGAAGATTATCTTTTCTTCATATCCTTTGAATGATGCTTATAAGTGCTTTTACGTTTTCCCCACCCAAGCCAATTAGTAGTTTCTGATATGATCTCTGAGCTGAAATTTCAGAACTCAGTTCTTGCTTCATCCCTGAAAGAGTCATTGGGTAGACTTAGTCAAATAATATTCTCTCATCACAATCTTAAAAAGGATAACTTGGTTGGAAGTAGTACTATCTTGTTAAAGTGTTATTGTAAACATTACTGGAATTATATACCTAGAGGGTTTTTGGTTTTTTGCTACTATTTTTGTGAAATCTGCTGTTAATATTTTTAGGAAATACAACAGCAAAGAGCAGCTCAGAAATTGATATATACCTTCAATCAAATGAAGCCCCATACCATTCCATATACTCCAAGGTATGAAAAAATTATTTAGATGTATTTATATTTCAAATTTGTCACTGCCCATCTCACTGTGCTCTTTTAGGAATAAAATCTAAAAGACTAAACCTATTCATTCTATATAGTTATGTACTGGTTGAATGAATATTAATATCTGTGATTAAAAGACAGGCAGATTCAGTCCTGGGCTAGAATTCCAACAGTTATTAGAGAAGCAGACAACTATTTATTCACATATTTTTAAATTTAGTTTATATTACATCATCCCCCCCCCGCCCCATATATAGTAATCACCCAAACCTGACGTTACAAGCAAGATGTCCCCTTTTAGAACCCTGTTAAATCCTAAGGGGTTGATCCATCATATTAGGTAGGGAGATGAACCAGATGACATGTTGCTAAGAGCTTCATTGACCAAAGAGCAGGAGATAATGCATGGTTCCCCAATTTTCCTCTTATATGCAGTGGAGACAGTATGGATTTAAGCAATATGGTCTGCCACTTCAGTCTTACATGTCCTGTCAGTCCTTTAAACAGCTGTATACAACATGGAAGCCAAATAAATATTATTTCATGGAATTACTGAACTCGTGGAAATCCAAATAAACATCCTGGGGACTAGGAAGTGCAGATGCCTTTACAAGAGGTCCTCCAATTTTAATGTTATCTGAGATATTTAGGGTGTTGCCATGCTGTATTGACAATGTTACCATTTAAACCTTAGATGTATAATAAGAAGAGAATAGATTTGGGGATAATACTAAGGTATAGTATTAGTAACTCCTAGTGATTACAGCTTTCAACTTTTTATTCACATAAGGGTCAGCAGGAACTTTAGAAAGAAAAGCTTAGGAGTAGACATCTGTTTCTACTGCTGTAATGCAGTATGTAAAAGGTTTTTGCACAGCAATTTTTTTTAAAAATAGGCTGTGATAAAATGATAGATTGTTGTTATAATGGAATATGAGTTTGGGGTTAAGTAGATACTTATTAAGGAAACAAGGGAGAAAGCTAAGAATGGGGGAGAAGGATAAAAAGAACAGAGTCAGGCAGCTGAGAGTGGAAAAAGAAATGAAAAAGGTCATCCCTATGAATAGAAGAAAAGAGAAGCACTAGTGGACCTTATGGAAAAATAAACTATTATTTTGTAAATAAGCATGGAATTCTGAACTTCTAAATAGAAACAACATATATCTTACACTAATTGTCCATATAATTTAGTTAGTTAAGTGTATAAATGTTCATAACCAATTGGTCCTCTGAATCTACAAGAGAGAGAATATTCTAAATGCCTCCCCCATATTGTGCTACTGTCCTAATAAGAGAGGATGCAACGTCAGCACAAGGATGCCAAGTCTATCAGTTTGGAGTGATGTCAGAGAGATTTTAAACTACATTTATTTATCCTAAAATAAACTTGGAAGAAATTTTGCCACTTCATAATTTAGTTTTGCCATATAGGCAACTCTTCAGAAATAAATTTGACAATTCCATTGTTGTTTATGTGTCTGTACAACAACATTCTGCTGCTGAATGGTGGCCCTTTCAGAAGAAGGAAGGAGATGGTGGCAAACGAGAGGGTATGGATGCAGCTCCATTTTACAATGGCTTCTGTGCCCCATTGCTTGTCAAATGTTTCTGATTATGGTTGAGGCCTTCTCTTAACCTCAGTTCTGGCTGCAGGCTTTATTCACATAAGATATTAAATACAAATGTATATCATACAACTGTTGACAGTTTCAAGCAAATAGCCTTTAAACTTACCAACTCAAATGCTAAGTAGGCCTACGTGAGACGTCTATCTGTTGTAGAACAAACATTAGATAGTTGAACTGTACTGCCTCCTCGTTGCATCGATGTTGTTGTTGTTGTTGTTGTTGTTGTTGTTGTTGTTGTTCAGTCGTTAAGTCGTGTCCGACTCTTTGTGACCCCATGAACCATATCGCGCCAGGCCTTCCTGTCCTTCGCTGCCTCCCTGAGTTTGCTCAGTTTCATGCTCATGCATCCATGTATCTCTGCATAAATTCATGCATTCGGTTTAAATAAGAGTATATGCTATGCATGAAATTAATTATTTATTCATGCCCTAGTCATCTTATGGCTTGACTGCTGCAATGTGCTCTACATAGGGCTGCCCTTGAAGACCACTCAGAAGCTTTAAGTGGTCCAGAATGCAGCAGCTTGAGTAGTGGTGGGCTTACTTCAGTATGCCCAAGTGACATTTTTGCTCCACAAGCTGCACTGGTCGCCAATTTGCTTATGTCTTGTGTTGTTGGCTGAATTTACCTTCTGTTCATTATTTATCTTGCTTTTAAAATTTATATTGTATTTTTATCCTGTTACATTGTGAGCCACCCAGAGTTGGTTTGGAGTTGGGCAGTGCCTACATCAAATAAATAAGTAAATAAATATGGAATATATAATATTTCCTTAAAGGCTGGGTTCCTATTGCTGGCTGTTCTATATAATACCCAACAATCATTCCTAATGTGTAATCATTTCATAGATAAATCAGCAGTTCTTCCATGTTTAAGTTGTCAAATGGTAATTCTAATTGACTGTTTCTGTTTTGAGCTACCTTAATATCTGGGAAAAGTGGGATGATTTTTGTTTTATTTTATGATATTCTTCCTCCTGAAGGAGCCCAGGAAATTTAATTAATAATCAATGAATACGAGTATCATACAATCATTATAATTTGTGAATTCTTCTTTGGCAATCAACACTGTAGCCCCTGCCTCCCCCCCCCTCCCAAAATACATAATAGGTAGTGGGGAGGAAGAAGTATTTGCTCCAGTTCAGCAAGATCCAACAGAGTCTTCTGGAAGATGGACATTTACATTGCTATAAAATGGGGGAAAGCACTTTTATCATAACATTGACTGGCCTTCTCTTATTTGGTACCTTCCAGATGTATTGAAGATTAGCTCTCATAATTCCTAGCCAATGTGATCTTCTCGAGGCTGACTGGAAGTAATAGGAGTTGAATTTCAGTGCATCAGTGCATCCAGAAGACACTAAGTTGGAAAAAAACTGATTTAGATGAAGAATTCAAGGGAGAGTCTTACCATATAATCTGTTTCCCAGTGGTCTTCAATGACTAATGTTAAGCTTTCCAATGACTTCATGTTTCTGAACAGTCATGGAAACCATGGTTCAAATGTGGCAGAGCCAGCCAGTTCTTTTTAACAGTTGTCCAATAGGAGCAACAGGACCAATCAGTTTTTGATTTTGTTTTACTGCTGCTCACCACTATATAAGAATTAACAATTTTAGGGAAATTCAAATTTTAGGGAAATTCAAATTTTAGGGAAATTCAAAATTTGCTTTTCTTCATCTTATGTCCTGATTTCTCACATCAAGTTGCACTTAAGCCTTATTTCATGAGAGCATGGCTTTGAGTTCTAATCCAGTAGTGAATAATTGCCACTGAGACTTATTTTTTGCTTCTGTTAGCATTGAAATATATCCTTACTGAATCACAAAACATTTCCTTGCATGGGCTGTTGAAAGTGGCATCTGTTTCTACTTATTCAGGGAGTATAGCACAGTTAAATCTGGGCTTGTTTCAACTACCCTTATGTTTTGTTTTAAAGCCCTTTATTTAGTTCAGTGCTGATAAAGTTGCTCAAGTCAGATAATTATGTAGCAGGATAGAAAATTTTTTAAAGTGTATACATTATTTTATTCTGACACTACTTCAAGCTTCTCCATTCATCTGTATTCATTTGATGAGCAAGATCAAAACTTTGTTTTGAGTATTTGAAATGAAATTTTATTATTTGATTTACAAGTTAACAAGAAGAAAAACAATGACATGCATTTAATTCCATGAACAATGATTTGGAATATCCAACTTCAGAAATAGCAGAAAAGATTACATTAGATCAAGCACTCTAGAAAGTAGATATGTAAGAAATAACAAAAATATCAGAAAACTGTTGATTACTGTAAAATTTAAAAAAAAAGGGGGGGGAGATACATTAATAGCTTTGTGTGAGCCAGTAGTTTTGTATAGTTTTGCAAGCAAGCTACCTTGGAATCACTAATGAATCTTATTTGCTGATTATTATACTTTTATTCTGTTGTTAAACTGCAGGTGGTGATTGCCCTCTGCCATTTGTTTGCCAGGATTTTGAGAATGGATTTTCTCAAGAGTTTTGCCCAATTTTTCCACCACGCTTGGAGATGTTATGAAGCCCAGTCTGAAGATTAGATCCTCATTGACTCTTATGTTAATTATCTCAGGCCATCTTTTTTGGCTATAGTCCTGTACCTACTTATTTGGGAATAAATTCCATTTAATTCAATTAGGTTTATTTCTCCATAGACATGAATAGGATTACACTGTGATTTACATACATACAGTACACACACTTATGCTTTCAAATGTTGTTAAAAATTATGATGTTAGAGGAAAGTTTTGCATGAGATTATCTTTATTCACCAATAGCAGTGTGAAAAACACTTCCTGAAAAGATATTATCCCTTCTTTTCAGATTCCTTGAAGTCTTTTTAATTTATTGCCATTCAGCCAATCAGTGGCTGACAATAGAAAAGTACATGACAGGAGAATTCCGCAAGTACAATAACAACAATGGGGATGAAATCATACCTAGCAATTTGCTGGAAGAAGTTATGCTGGCTTTTTCTCACTGGAGTTATGAATATACTCGAGGAGAACTTCTTGTACTAGATTTGCAAGGTGAGTAATAAAGACTGTGCCATGAAAGTTAGGAAAATGAAAGCTAGGAAAATGGCTTGTGACACTTGAACGGCTAACACATTTATTTGGTTGTCAATATTTGTGGACTATAGTATACTTTTATCAGATATAAGAAGAGTTCTATGCATACAGTATATAATATACATATGCATATGCATATGCTTATGTGTGTGTGTATACACCCACACCCACATACATATACATACAACCATCTATTGTTAGGTGGGTGAATGATTAACAGTGACTTCGTGGGCATCTACAGAAGATTGGGCAGTCATGCCACAAGTTCTGTCCCTTTTTCAGCGTGTGAGCAACATGAAGTTGCAGTTCTGCTTTTGTCATTCTCCTCTCCTTCCCTCTATTCTCCCAACACCGTGAATGCCACTGGGCCTGGGTGAATTAGTTCTGATTCACTCTGAATATTTGAGATTCAGAATAAGCGTGATTTGTTTTAAGGTTGGGCTTAGAGATTTGAAGACAATCAATTTGATCTTGGCTGTTTCTTTAGATTAAAATGTCTCAAAATCCCTGTGGCTACTTCATTTTTTGGCAGAATGAGGTAAAAATACAGCGTTTATTGACTTGTCAGAGGGCATTAGCCCTTTGAAGGTTCTGCTGGATGTTCAAGGGTTTCATCACAATAAATTTTTGAAATATTCCCCCTGCATCTCTTTGAGTTGACAGTTATGAGACTCAGCAAGCATCAGCACTTGTCTGAATTTATCTTAGCATAAAAGCTAGGTAGGATTGGGCCTGATTAGTACTTGGATGTAGGCTAGACTGGAAGTTGAAAAAGCTTCTTTCTTCCCAGAAGAAGGGAATCACAAACCGCTTCCATGGTGATGCCAAGCAAACTGATCAGAAGTGCTCCAAGAATGAGTCACCAAGTATTGCCTAGTGATCATCAAAAGGGCATCTTTATCTTAGAAGGTATGAGGAAAGGATAGCTCCTAATATATATATATATATATTTAAGAAGGAAGGAAGTTGTGATCATTGAACTAAAGCACAAAGATCATGCTGCAAGTAAAAAATAAAAACCTCCAAAATCTATACAAAGTAATTTTTCACTTGCTTTCCTGGAGTGCTGGACTTGGCATAATACTGAGGAATAATCACTGAGTTGCCCTTAAGGGATAGTGAAGCTTTGCTGCCTCTGATCACTGGTTTTTAGGGGTGCCATTAAGGTTGGCATAACTGGTTGGAAAGCTTTACCCTTAAGGACTGCCTCATTGCTGGCTCTGGTGAGGTGGGATGAGGTTGGGTTGACAAGCTTGACCTCTTGCTGATATGGGGAGTTATGATGACACAGAGAGAGGTAGCAAACATAGCCTTGCCACTCCTGTATTCATAAAGTAGTAAATGTTTGGAGCACTTGTGTTAACCTGGCAAGCTCATACTATATTTATTAGTCTTTAGGGTACTACAACGCTCTTTGTTTTGCTACAGCATACTACCATTACTTACCTTTCTGGAAAATAAAAGTGTGGTTGCTTAGTATAGAATATGTTTATAAAAAGCACAGGTTAGATGCATCTATAATATTTTTGTTTTCATGCTACCTTTCTTTAATGGAATTGTACAGTTATATGCTTCTAGCTGCTTCTATTATTCTGGTTGGTTTCAAGTCTTTCCTGTCTCATATTGTATTATTAATATATTAGGACTTGCATGTGTATTTCTGTACTTGTCTGGATCTGTAGATTAACAGGAAGGACTAAGTGTTGATGATTAGCTGTACACATCTGGGCTCCGCTTCATTTTTGAGTGTCACAGAATTGGCATAGTTATTCAAGACCAAGATTACCTATCTTGCAGCTCCCTCTAACATTAGCTGATAATAAATTCTACACGAAATTGGTTTGTCAGAAAATCCTCAGGCCTCAACAAAATGCATAATTCACAATGAGCGAGGAAAATAGTAAATTTGCCAGGAGGGGAGTGCTAGTGTAGGAGAGAAGGGGCCAGATTTAGGGCCAGAACAGCTATGGAAACCATGAGTTGTTATAGATTCTGATCCATATGCTCGTCTAGCTGGTTGACTGTCAGGAATAACTGGTCCAGCTGTGTCACAATTTGGTTAACAGAATAAATAATAATTTAAAAAAAAACCAGAATAAGAAACAATACTGAGCATCTAAATATATCACTTATATATCATGTAATAGAGTCAGAGATTTCTGATCCATGTTTACCTAACTGTTCAGTCTTCCTAATTAACAGCTTCAGATTTATACCTCTTTTTTAAAAAAAATAAATACTATTTTAAAGGAAACTGACTTGTTCTAAAGCAAAGCACCAGCCTCAAGCACTTCATGAATGCCATGAGGTCCCACAGAGATGATGGGAGGCATCCTTGAAAACTAGTTTGCCTTGTGATAAATGGATGTTTTGTGACTGGCTACACTTACTACAGTAGCCATTTTGTGACTAGGGAAGTTTTCTATGGCAGCCATTTTGTGAGTGTGCCTGACATAATGCTTTCACAATTCCAAATTGGCCCATAAAGGTTATCCAACTTTGACATAAATAAACAAACCAAAAAGTCGTTTTAATATGCTCCATGTAAACTATTAATTCAGGACAGCAAAACAAGCTTAAGCAGTAGACTAAGTGCGAGGATCCATCTTTCTGCCTTGAACTAGATGTTCTTGAGCATATGAAGGTTTTAGAACATATGTGGAATATGTCTGTTGATCTATTTTATTCAGGATAGGGAGGTTTCCTTGCACCGTATGGAAAATGTTATCTTAGTTCTCTCTGATATTGAAATATATATTTATATATATTTATATATAAACTATATTTATATATAGTTCCAGCAACATACATTTGGATCCACAACATATTTTGAATTATAGCCTTTGAGTTTTTTGCATTATATTAAAATGGAAAAATGGCTTAAAAAACAGTTGAATATGCAACATTTGTTTGTCAAAGTCTAATGCATTTTATAATTTTAATATTGCCTTTTCGTTTCTACTCTATAAACCAAAAGATTAGATAACTATATAATAATTGCATATGTTATAATGTCACAAATGGTTTTTAAGAAGACAATTACCTTCTAATAACCTTTGTAAATTTGACTTCTGCAGGTGTTGGAGAAAACCTTACAGATCCATCTGTTATTAAACCTGAAGACAAACAGTAAATATCTTATGTAAATTTATCATATAAAATGTGACATGTATTGCATGATTCAATTAATCTTCAATATTAACTGTAATGTACATGTGCATATTTTTACACATTGCTGAGAGTGATGCTGTTTTTGGTCATCATTGCAGTTTTGTATCTGTATCTTTTTAAGCGACTGATTAATAATGTAATGCATTGACATAAAGGTCACTGAAGAAAACTTAATAAGGCTATGAATACAAATATTTACTGATTGGCAATAGAAGAGACAAATATTTGACCTATATTGAATGGTCATATCTAATTTCCAAGGTCATTTCAGAAAAAAAAGATGGTGCTGAATTTAATATATAGTACCTTGTAGATTAAATAGGCCATTTTATCTTAGGAATGCACAAGAAATAGACTACAGTTAATGAAATGCTATCTAACCACAGTTTCTTGTAAGTAATGTTCGTGACACTAGTTGAAGGATTGTCTGGCAGATCACTTTAAGGTTTACCCTCCAGCTACTTTGCAAAGTGATATCTGGGTCAAACTAGATTCTGGCTATGAGTTTAGAAAGTTAATTTTTTAACAAGCATTACATCCTCTGGGCTAACAGGAGCTCACACAATGAAGCATTTCTTGCTCCATTCCTCCTGCACTCAACCTGTTTAGGCAGGTCCCCCCAAAACTGGGCATCCAGTTAAGTATATCTGTGATATGCAGGTGGAAAAGGAATTCAAGCACTGTGGATGCTGTTCCTCTGTTGTTTCCATAAATATTATACATACATATTCATATATGTGTTTCATCAATAATATACATGCATACGTAGCCGCTATGCCAGGCCTACACAATCTGCAGAGGGAAAAGGGCCACATTGATAAATTAAAAATCATCATGGGCTGCAAAGTAATTCCTGGCATGCTGATCAGCTGCTCAGTGGCTAGCAAAGCAGCAGTAGCCCTGGAGCTGGCAGCAGCAGACAGGCTTGGAGGTGCTCAGCAGCACGACTTTCAGGGTGATGGTGGTGATGAATTTATTACTTATAAAAAACGCCAGCGGGCTGCACAAGGCCTCTTGGCAGGCCTTCTGTTGTGGAGGCCTGCACTATATTAATTTCTTTTGGAGTAAGCAACATTATGCAGAGTGGAAAAGTTCTAATAAATAGCAAAACAATGAAATTAAAAGCATGAGATAAGAAGAAAAGGAAACATAGATAAAATTAGTTTACAGCCATACCATTCATGGCACCTCTCCATCCCTTCCTATCTTTGCAAACCATCCTGGCTTCCACCTCATCCAAACATTGCTGTCATATATTGTGTTTTGTTCTCTGAACTTCTTTCCTATTTCTTTTTGAGGATCTCATCAACGACATTCAACCAAAACCTTCTTGGTTTTTCCCTCCTTTCAACCCATTTATTTTTCCTGCATATACACTTGTTCTGCAATTCAGTTCTCTCTGTCTGATCAAACTCTCATGGTGATTACTCACGTTTGTATCAATCCTCATTCCTTCAGTAAACATTCATTCTTGACTACCATTTCCTCTTGCTTTACCATATACTTCGGTATCCCATGCATTCAACTTACTTTTGTTTCTCCTGATATATCCAACTCTCACTTCCACATAACAGATGGGGAAAAAGCATGGCCTTTCCACATCCATTTTCAATTCTTTCAGCCAACATTCATTTCTTACAGCAGGTAAGGTACCTATTCATTTTCTACCAGCATTTGAATGTCCTAACATTTTAACATTTCTCCATCCATTTTCCAACCTTTAGTAAACAATTCACTCCTTACTATTCACTCCAAGGCACATATTTCCATATGGTATGGTCATCACCAGATCGAGTAGTGACCTCCACTATTCTTCATGGTTTTGGTCGAGTGACACTTGGCTTTTTAGTGAGATGGAGAAAGTATATACTGGGCTACCAATCTTAGCCATACCTGTGCCATATACAGCATTTTGTGCTAATGGTAAGGACACAGTACTGTCAATCTGGCACATTTTGGCCATTATGCCACAAGTCCAATCAAAGCTGTTTTATCTCAACCATGCTACTCTTTGCAAGGCTGGGCCTTAAATCTTGAGACTATCTTTTAAGCCAACATACTGTTGCCCACATTCCATCAACTTGGAGTTCCATACACTATATTGATGCATACTCAGGGAAGGCTTTGGAGTAATTGCATTTCTGCAAATTCATAGATAATAATAATAACAACAAAAATCACAACAACTTGTATGCCACCCAACTCTCAATGCCTCAGATAGATACCATGTGATAGATAGATAGATAGATAGATAGATAGATATGATAGATAAATGTAATTATATCAATTTTTCTGCTCATAACAATTTAGCTAGACTTTGAATTTTTTATTGCGTACAAATAAGGTTGATCTCTTAATATGTAATATGTAATCCAGAAAGTCCTCACAATGATTCAAAAAGCACTTTCCAGAAAATGTATAGATTTTGATCAGAGGATCCAAGTATTGACATATTTTTCTCTGATGGCAATGCATACATGGGGAGATTTTTACACTCTGCTTTTTTTTTCAGATGTAGTACATGTCATATAAATATAGTACACTCAGCATATTTTTTGTGCAGTCTTTTCTTTAATATGTACAAGTTCTAATTCAGTTTTCAGGAAATTATCAATTCTGTAGTAAAGAAATTAATAGGCATTCACCTTAACATGTATGTGTGTGTGTGTGGATTTTACCAGTACTGCAACATATCCAGATATTCTGTCAGTTGGGTAGCTGAAGATAAATTCATCAGTTCTCTGTTTGTTACATTGCTATTGTAAGAGTGTCATGCTGCAGCAATTCAAGGATGCATTTAAATAGGCAACCTGTACTGTAACTTTTATTAAGATTATTGGATTCTAGATCTTGCCTATGAACAATCCATGGAACAAGTACAGTTCTGTATACATAAGAAATGTCTGTCCTAAATTGAACAGATGAGAGATGCCTTTGCTTGACTATGAAGCATCTTTAAGTACGATGGAATCACATTATGAATTAAAAAATGATTTTGTAGTTACAGTTTCTTAAACTTTCTAAGGAGGAAGAATGAAGATCTTGAAGTCTTATCCAAAAAATGCAGGCCCACAAAACAGGGTTCTATTGAGAAGACATTTTGCTGCTGCATTTTTTTTTTTTAATAGGTTGTTTATCAGTTTCTCCCACTCCCAAATTCACAACCAGTTCCAGTTACACAAAAATGCATCCTGATGGCTGCAGGTAGACCTGCATTTCAGTGTAAATGTAGGAATTTCAGTGTAAATTTAGGACTGCTAGCCAATATTTTATTAGTCACAAATCTTTTGTTAATCACAAATAATTCATAAATATGTTATCGTTTGAGGATCTCAGCAAATTTACATATATTTATATGTAATGAGCAGCATATAAAGATATAGAATGTAATCATTGCTGAATTGGAATACTTCTGGTTGAATTATGTAGAAGAATTCAGGAGAATGCATATATACATATGTACCTGACGGAGATTGCTTTAATTTTTTTGGTGTGTACAAATATTGTCACATTAATTAGTCCTTTATTATTTTCAAACTTTAGAGGGATGGCATTTGGACCAGCAAATCTTGGGGAAGAAGCCATTCAGAACTTCATTTCAAAGCATCGCTGCAATTCTTGTTGCAGGAAACTCAAACTTCCTGGTATGCATTCGGAAAGCTGCATGTTTTTGAACAAATCTGGCCTTAGAGCCTATCTCTGAATCTAGGACTGAGCTCATCGTATTGACCCTGGTAACAAAGAATTCTGAGAAGGACGTGTACAAATGAAGATTTTCCATAAATGTTTTGAGGGTCCACATAATACTAACATATGTCTAGGAAAGAGCAGTACTAAACCTTATTTATTGGTTCTATATTTCAAATCTTGATGTGGCAAACTCTTTAAATATAGGGTGCACTTTTTTTAATTCCAAGAATCCCACTTGGCTTTTCATGATCCATTCAAGGATGGAAGGGACAAGAAAAGAAATGGATAAAAACAAAACATAATTTAATTTAAATTACATTAAATTCCCTATTATCACATTGAAATTACACTTTATTGGCCATTTTTGTAGGAGGCATAGGGCTGGACTTAAAAACATGGGGATCATATGTGGCCTTGGGGCCTCAGGTTTTGGACTTGGGCATTAAAATGTCTTATTAAACATGCAATTATGTCCCTTCCCTAAACAGGATATTAGATTAGTTTTTTTAGTAGAGTGAATAAAGTAGTATATTTAAAGGTTAAGTAAGGAGCTTTTAACTTTTTTTTTTAACAACCTAATGGATTATAGGAAGGAAATAATAATGAAAGTATTTATTTTTGTTCTGGATAATTACTGTATTTTTATGCAGACTCACTGCTTAGTTGAAGAGATGTCTCTTCATTTAGTAATATTGATGTGTATTACAAAAACCCCTTTGGATAGCTGTGATGTCACTCTTTTGGAGATATGCCTACCTAGATTTTGGATCTGCAGCAAACTTCAGAATGATAGTGTTGATCTTAAAATACATCTTTCTTATGACTAGGATTCCTGCTGTTAAGGTTACAGAGTGTTGAGTTGGATTGCAGGTACAAGCTAGGAATTTTCATGGTGTATCATCTGCTTTTTGCCTGGTAGAAACCCTGCCTTTTCCCCTAGACTTTGTCTTTGGGCAGATGTTGGAATACCCTTGCCTTTTCATATTAGAGGACTTCACTCTTCATGTCCTATGGGTGGGGTCAGAGATTCATGGCTTCGATGGCAATCATGGGTTTGTCCCAGATAATCTCTGGCTCATACACATGGACAACATAGGTTAGATCTTATTTTTCCTTTTAGCATTTGCTTGCTGTGACCTGGATATGGAGAACATTACCCTTTAGTCCTTTGCTGTGGTTTGATCACATCTTAGTTTAGATTAGATTGATTGCCACCCGGACTTTCCTGAGGCAGTCCTGAGTAACTGATGGATCTGGAGGGAGTCTAGAGGGTGCTTGGGAAGTTTTCCAATAATCTGGTGGACAGTTCTTTTGATTTGGGTAGTCAACTTCTGGTAACAGGAAGTGACTTGAGATCTTGATGTTCTCAAGTGGCCTTTTTCTATTGGTTGATTTTAAGGGGCTCTAAGGAGTTACTGGAGATGAAGCAGCAGACATGGTGCCTGAAGTACTGGGGGTGGCAGACAATCAACTTGACTGAGCATGCTCAAGTTCAAGCCTATACTGTGGTGATGAGTATAGCAAAGTACCAGTACTTATCTTACCATGCTGGCAGCTCTGTAGAGGGTGGCCAACTCCTGTTTTGAGGAAGGTGAATCTTCCAGCAGGCAGCTGTGATTGTTGTTGTTGCTGCTGTTGTTGTTCAGCATGTTGATGATCAAGTTTTGTTTCAGTGAAATCTTCATTTTTCATGGACCATGTGAAGTGGTGATAGGGGATTTGTGATGAGGTGTAGACTGATGACTGGAGATATTGTTTCTCAGTGATGGCACCTATGCACTGAAACAAGACTCGGTCCCTCTCTTAAGGTTTTCTAGAATTTAGTTAAAACAGAGCTTGTATAGACAGCATTTGGGGATAGCCTGGGATGACACTGTCCATGGTTTACAGCTCTGTGTTGTTGTTGTTGTTGTTGTTGTTGTTGTTATTATTATTATTATTATTATTATCAGTGGTGGTGGTGGTGGTGGATGTTTTAACGTTGCATGTTGCTTGGATGTTTGTTGCTGTTGGAGTCCTTGGAGATCACAGCAGCATGCAAATGCAATAAATATGTATTATCTAAGTTAAAGCTTTTGCCTGTTTTCTTCATAGATTTGAAAAGAAATTATTATGCGCCTGGGAGGGTCAATCCAGCTTATGAAGTTGAAGCTGAAATACCAACTGCAGCAGAAGATGAGACTGCAAACAATAGAAATGATGAACCGCTGGAATATGATACTCGACTGTGATACAGGAGTTCCTAATTTTATCCTTAGAATTTTTTTCTGAAGGGCCAACTGCTAGGAGTTCTACTACCTCTCCTGTCTGTACTTTTCTAGAAAAAAATAAAAATAAAAACCATTAACGTGAAAGTGTTTGCAAATAAATTTCTTCTAAAACAAGGAGTGTCCTTGGTTTGTATAAGTTATTCACCAAGCTCACTGGAATAATGGAGATGCTAGTGACAGTGCTTCAAATTATGAATATTTAAAAATGTCACTTAAAATGGGAAAATAACAAATGGTTATGCGAAATTGGAAGATTTTCTAGAAACAATTTGACTCACAGAAATCCCCCAGATGGCAACCAGAAATATTCAATCCTGGTCAAAAATCCAATAGTGTTAAGTACTTGACAAAATGGCCAGATAACAGGTGAAGCTCAAATTTTCCAAGACAAGGAGATTCAAAGTCCAGGAGCTGCAACAGAAAAGGCCTCCTGCATATATATTTCATGGATGTTTTATTCATCTTTTTATTTTAACAGTGTATCCTATAATTATGGCTGGCAATTTTAATAAAGTTTTGGGTGTTTTGGTTTACTTCAAATGAGTTCTGATCACACACATGGAAAGTGCTTCAAGTTATTAAACATTGATTTGGTGGATATCTGTTAACATTTGAATCCACTGTAATGAGAATGTCCTTTTTTTTTTTTCCTGGCTCCCCATCAGACCTGTTCCTAGCATTTTTAGTATCTAGATTTTCATTGAGTGTTTAAGAGTGCGTGTAAATGAACATCATCTTATGTATAAATGTACGGTAAATCACTTGGGACAATATAAAACATTAAAATTAGGAGGATTGAGGAAAGATATCCATGTGATCACTTAACTTGGAAATACTGTGGCATAGGATCTTATTACAAATCACATTTCTGGCTCAGCTAGTTTAATGTTTTCTATACTGAGCCGGAATTGGATTCCCAGGGCTTGAAACATAGATTATCCCTGTCCTACAGACACACAGCAGACTGAACAGAACTCTTTCCTTACAAAAACATGGAAGCTCCCACTGAGCTACAGCCCTTCCTAGCAAAAAAAAAAAAAAAAGAGTGGAATATTAGTACTGAAAAAGTGTGAGATAACATTTCAGATAGAGCCACAAGCTTTCCTCCTGTTTGTCAAAATGTGTAAATTAATAGGCAGTAGATGCAGCTCTGAGCAGTGCTGCATGGCGCTGCCCTGATATAAAATTAAAGAGGAAAGATAGCTAAAATTTCTACAAGAATGTATCTGACAGATGTTTTCCTCAATCTTCATAATGAGGGTTGGGGTAACTAAAGAAGAAGAAAAAATACACACTGTATGGCATGCAAATTTAACCCTCTTGTCAATGGTAACTGTCAGCATTTATCCAACCTGCCTTCTTGCCTGAAGAGCCAGTATAATTTAGCGGTTTGAATGGTTCTACTTCAATTTCACTTCAGTCCTCCAACTTTTACAAACCTGCGCAAGGAAGGAAAATCTCAAACCAAGAATAAATCTGTTCTTCTACTCAGTATTTAAACAATGTGTAAGATCTCTCTATCTTTATGTGTATTTTAGGAGAGAGGAAGCATGGATCTATTTAACATGAATTGTGCTGGCATTTATTCTCTTCTTATAAGCACATGGAAATAAATATATTATGTGGAAGTGACTGTCTTTATAGAAGTAATCTGTGTGCTCAAAAGCCAAGAAAAAACAGATTGGTTATTTAGTACATTAGAGAATAGGAGGGGTTTTGGGGAAGAGAGGGGATCATTTGTAACCCCAGACATTTTCTAGCATTTTTAAAATTATTGAAATCAGTAAGGCTGGGTTTTATTACCATGGATTTTGGAACCAGGTATATAATCTTCAAGAGTACTTTTGGTGTGTGTGTGTGTGTATGTATGTATTGCATACTTCGTTTGCATCTGCTGTTACAAAGACATGCCAGGAAGGCCCCCTTAGCACCACTGGATAACTGCCTCATGTGAAATTACACATTTTGTGACCACTTTGTTACCTTGGATGCAACTCAGCAGCAGGCAAATAAATAACCATGATGTAACTCTTTACATAAGTAGCCTTTTAGTCTTAATATACACTGTGCCAGTAAAGGCACCGTGGAGAATTTTAATTCATTTCTTACACTGGGTGGCCATAAATGCTACAAATTGTAGCCATGTCAACAGTGACATAGTGGAGATGTTACAGTTGATGTGCTGCAATTCAAACCTTCCTTTGATCTAAGACAGTGTTGTCCAAACTTGTCCACTTTAAGATGAGTGGACTTCAACTCCCAGAATTCCCCAGCCAGCCATGCTGGCTG